CAGTCCTCTTTCCCAGAATTCCTCAGACCAGACTCCGATAAAGACACGTCAGAAATCCTCCAAGAATAGAACACATGTAAGTCAGTTACGTGAACTTATTTGTAATTTGTTCACCCTTGCTTCACTTGTGAACATTTGAAGTGTTTATGGTACTTATAAGTAATAAAAACAAATTAAATGTTGTTTACATCTTGTTTTTTTATGGCAAACTGTTTTAATTTTGTCTTTTAGGTACCCTGCCAATGCAGAATATGTGCAGGTTTTTCTTGTGAAATATTCCATTCCTTATGAATCTGGAAGGAAATGGCTATGTAAGTTACTTTTCAGACATTACATTATGTGAAAAGACCTTACAAGTGTAAGATATCTCCAAAGTTCTAATGATCAGAAGAAGTTGGTCATTTCTGTTTATATACATTTTTAGAATTGGAGCTTTTCCTTTTGATCTGATTTGATTTTACCCTCTATGTTTGCAGTCATGGTACCAGTTCCTCAAACACAAATTCAAAGCGGAGCTGCACCTCTGGTTCTCGATGAGCAAGGAGAATGATGCTGTCTGAAGAAACTCTAGGATCCTGTCCCAGATCTATGTTAGGGGTAAGTGTATTCCTATACATTAACACAGAGCTTCTCTAACCTGTCCTGAAGCCCCACTATTTAACTCCAAGAACAATAAATAATAATACATATATTAGCATCCATGAAAAGGGATGATAACATTGTTTATTTAAGTGGTTGCTGCAGTTAAATAATCTGCTGCTTTAAGTGCCTGACCACTTTATTATTTCTGATTAGCTGTCAATGTTTTTATTGTTCAGTAAAAGAAAAATCAGTTAATTTAAAAACTACATTATGTGCATTTTACATGATTGCATACATTTTTTTAAGTTGAGTGTTGCTTGTTATATTTACAAAATAAATAGTAATTAAATTTAAGTTTGGGCTCTGTTAACTGTAACCTTATAGTAGACCTAATGTAAAAGGGCTCAATATAGTTTAGAGCATATGCCGAAGTAGATGTTTATCCCTAAGAAAATTAATTATAACTGAGTTTGTTTAAAGAAAGAGCAATTTGTTCAGTAAACCACTGTTTAATAAAAAAATCAAATAAAACAAATGAGTTTTTCCCCCTGCTGTACCAAAACTGTACCGAACCGTGACATCAAAAACCAAGGTACGTACCGAACCCTCATGTTTGTGTACCTATACACCCGTAGTATTCAGTGATGTGACCAGATACCTTGATTGTCAAAGCCATATGATGTCTGTGTTGTGAGCATTTCATTTCTGTGTTATATGCTTTACATTTCCATTTGTTCAAGTTGAATCTGAATAGATCATTAAACCAGGAGATGGACTTTCAGGCCCTTGACACATGCTCTGTTGTTTCTCAAGATTCTCAAGAATGATTCTCTTGATTCTCAATAATGTTTAAATTGTACATTTAATCTATGTGATAAAATGTTCATGGTATGAAAGTTACAGTAAATAATACTGTTTTTGAAAATGTGAAATTACTCCATATGCATCCTGCTATAATGACGACACATTGTTATACAATATTTAATGCTCATTCTGTAAAAATTGTGCACAAAAATGTGAGAATGTAATATTTCAATGTCAAGTAATAAATGTGATGGAACAGCATTATGGCCTTTTTAATATTACTTTTAAATATTTTGATTAAAATTACAGGAACTAACTGTATTTTAATTACTGAAAATTTACTGTATTTTTACGAGATGGTTATTTTCCGTTATTTCACAATTTTTTTAACGTCCAATTATTTTTAGTTTTTCCATTTCCGTTTTCCGTTATTTTACTTTTTTTTTTTTTTTTCTGGTGCCACAGGTGCCGGAATATTTCTCTTTTTTTTTACAGGTTTTTTTTTTTTTTTGCAGTGCAACTGCCAAAAACTCTGATTAACATCACATCACTCTTGGTTTTGTCACAGTGTTATGCTTCATGACAAGAAAGCTTGGTTTGTAGCAGGTCCTGTTAGTTGGCGTCTAGAGAGAATTAAAATACAGACATCATTAAATATCCCAAGGAGCTTATGGAATTAACATAAAAACCACCCAAGAGAGCATAGCTGGCCATCAGAGAATCTCTAAGCATTTGATCGTGTAACACTGTCTCATTACCTGTGATTTAATCATGTCATACCGTTCTCCAATCACCAGTACGCTCACAGGTATTGATGGACCTCTTGAAAAGCCCCGTCTTAGCCGCAGTGCAAGGCTGCTGTCTTAATGAATTGGGCTGTTTTCATCTGCTTATTGAGTGTTTGATGTGTAAGGGCTTCCGTCTGTGTGGTTAACTTTGGTTGCTACGGTAATCAGGCCCTTTGTTGGGCTGTTTTGTTTGCTTGTCTCAGGTTTGATTGAGATCATTAGCAGTGAGGGGAGGACAGTCAAACTCTTCAGAGTTTACATCTGCAGCTGTATACAGTGTGACATACCCCTCCTTTCTCTTTACACACACACACACACACATATACAGCACTGCTCCCATCGCAGCATTTTTGTTGAAGTGTAATTAGTGGTGCTTGCAAGCATCATTATTACTGTTGCTCATACTTAAGGTGAGGAATTTGAACAAACCCCTAACCCTAAGTAGTAAACTTCAGTGTGTAACTATTCCTGTGAAGTTTGCACTAGGGAATTAATCATGCTGCTTGTTGTTTAATGTTACTTTTCTGATTGGTCAGACTTGCAATTTTCGGCTACCAAGTGATTAAACAGACAAACAAATCCTGTTGACTCACATTGAAATAGGGAAAGGAGTTATGTTTTTTTTTTTTTTTTGGCTTGTGTCAGTAAGCAGCCACCCAGAACACCCTAGCAACTGCAAAGCAATACCCTGGCAACTAACCGCAAGACCTGTCATCATGGTGGTGAGTTTTGAATAGGCAATTTCCACATTTTCTTCAGAAATTTAGTATTTTGGACACTTCTACACATTCAAACTGCTTAATTTTCAGCAGTCATTACTCCAGTCTTTAGTGTCATCCTTCAGAAATCATTCTAATATGCTGATTTGAGGTTCAAGAAATGTTTCTCACTGTTATTTGTTGAAAACATTTGTGCTGCTTAATATTTTTATAAACCATGATATTTATTTTTTCAGTGTTCTTCGATGAAAAGTTTAAAAGGACCGCATTGTTTTCAAAATATAAATGTTGTAACAATGTCAAAGTGCTACATAAATTATTATTTATTTTTTTTGGTATTAAAATACTAAAATGCTTCTTTGGTCTAACAGAGATAGCTTTCTAAGTAAGGCATTTTTATGCTTTGCGTTTTGTTTGGCAACTTTGACCTGACCAGTCGTATGAGCTGGTGGTGGTACTACCAGACGGAGCGTTTTTGGCAAGCCTGTTCAGATAAAGTTATTATTTTTGCAATTTTATTACTGGTACTGCTAGTAGTGGTGCCACAGAAGTAATACATTTTGGCCAGCTGCAGCTTGTCCTTTGACTAACTGCCATTAGAAAGTTTAATAACATAATATTAATAATTATCATCAACATCCATAGGCTTTCTACTATTGAGCATTGGTTTTTCGTTTTCATTGACGTCCTGTGCCCTTGCCTGAATGACTTCAAAATAGCTCCTTTGATAGAAAGTGATGTAAAGCTGACATTTTTCTTTTGCAAGTAAGGAGAAGAAATGACTAACCTGCTTGGATATTTTTTTTTATCTTGTCCCATGCTTCACCTTGTAAACACAATACTGAAGCTGTAGAGTGCAATAAGAAACCGAGAACCTGACCTATTGACACCTTCATGGGTCTTTATATTTCTATGTGTGTGTTTTAAGACATTTTCAAGATAAACGGGCTTTCACCCTTGGCCTAAGAACTAATCCTGTTCAATAACTAACTAACAATTCCTCCGGTTTGACTGTGCACCGTATATTAGTCCTGAAACCATGACGTTATTGTCACGAGTGTGTGTATTAAATTAACTGTTACTGTGATCAATTGACATAGGGATTAACTTCTTTTGACCTCCTTACTTAGAACGTAAACCTAGTGGTCCAACCATTCACAAAGTATTAACGAGCATCTCAGCGAGGTTACTACTAAACACTTCCTCGGCACTGCAGTTACCCTGCTCTCAAAGCTATTGAGATAATCCCCATCTCATATGACCGCGTGGGTTGAGGAAATGCCTGGATCAAAAATGCAGATGGTAACTGGAGATCACAGGAATACATTGTTGTGTGAGGACGTGAAAGGTATGATTGGAAGATACAAACTTAAAAGGATAGCTTAACAAGCAGGGTTGGATAAAGATTTGAAAAATAGAGGGGGGAAGCTGAAGTGGTGGGTATTTCATCAGTGTTCCTCATTGTGAAGAGAGATCTACACTTTTTCTGAAGGGACCCTCTCAAGGCTAAAAACCAGACTTGGAGCAGCCGAAGAGATGGAGGGAGAGAATGATCAATGGAAAAAGAAAGGGTCTGGGGGTAACTGGGGATCGATGAACATTTAATCTCTTCTTGTCCTGTTAGGGCCCACATGAGACTTTGTCCCCAAAGCACACATTAATTTATTCGTTTAACTTACTGTCTCTTCCACCGTGTATTCATCTTTTTTGAGTCTGCGTCGAGCAAATCAGCCCGTGTAGGAGTATTGATCTGGACTTTTATTCCCGTCTGTGTGTTTGTTACTTGCGCTGCCTTTTGCCTCTTCAGCTTCTCCTTGAATACTGTCATCAGGCTGTTCTTTTATTTCATAAATATCTGCTTCTCCATTGACCCTGTTTTAGTGTCTCAGTGGGCCTTTTTGTGGACTCTACCTATTTATTTAATGCTTTACTCTAATACTGAACTTGGTGTTATTGAAATAATTATGCTGTTCAGCTACACCGTCAGTCTTAACATGGTTTTCAAACTACTTTTATTTAAAAATGTGGGTCTGTTTTAAACTTTTTCCCTTAATCTGAGATGGACGTGGTGTTTCAGATGTTGTTTGTCCATTCATGTTCTCCCCAGACAAACCTCCCCATCTTCAAGCTGAAGGAGTCACGTGTCCGGAGGAGATACAGCGACTTTGAGTGGTTGAGAGGAGAGCTGGAGAGAGAAAGCAAGGTGAAGGATAGAATATGAATGAAATAAAAGTGTTGATTTGGTTGGAACATGGTGCACAAATGTTCAGGGTGAGGGATTTTATCATCCTTCTGTGTTGTTGTAAGGGTCCATTTCAACTAGAAACATTTAAGAGCAAAGCTTTTTCAATCACTGGATTGGAAAGGATTCTGTAGTTGAAGTAATGACGTTTGAAGTGATTGTAAGAGACCTGTGATTGCATTCTGAGATGTATGTAACTTAAATTAAGTTTTTGTATTTCAAATAGGTGGTAGTTCCTCCTCTTCCTGGAAAGGCTCTGATCAGGCAGCTCCCATTCCGTGGGGATGATGGTATATTTGATGACTCTTTTATTGAAGAACGGCGGCAAGGCCTAGAACAGTTCCTCAACAAGTAAGTTACAAGTTCTGTTCACCAGAAACACATGAGGACAAATTCACAAATGAGGACAAAATTTCTAATTTAACCGGTATCTTCTCCAAATTAAGTATATTTTGTGCAGATTCTTTTATCTAAACTCACTTTGCACAGCATTCCAGTTGTTCATTTTATCAGTTCATGCATTGCTTGGCAGTCGAGCTCATGACTTTAAAAAAAAAAAAAAAAAAAGTATTGGTGTGCCACAATTATTGGCACCCCTGCAAATTCTAAGGAGTGAAAATGTAACTAAGTATATTCCCATCCATGCTGGACATTTTGAATGTTATCTGAGTGATTAGGAATACTAAAATGTAAGCCATGAAAGAAAACTGGCCATGCAAAAAGAAAAAGAATTTAAAAAAAATTCAAAAGGTGCCGTGGCATGCACATTTGAGAAACAAAATTGTTTAGTGATGTTAAATATACAAAAAAACATTATTTATATTTATTTGTAAATATTTTAATTTAGATTTAAGAGGCTACACAGCAAAGGTGGTGAACTAATGGAGGAAACTGTACCCATGATGCATTGTGGAAATGTTAGTTATTGAAAAAAAGAAAATTTTCCTTGCGATTTTATTCTCAAGTGTTGCTATGACAAGATTTGCATGGTCCTCTACTGTGTGTCCTTCCTCTTAACTTCTTTTAGCCTCGGCACATCTGAACTGTTTTTATAAAGAACACTGAAGCGGTTATAATGAAATACAATAGTTTTTCCTCTTTCTGTTAATTTTGAGTTTTTAGGAAAAGGTACTTCAGTAAAAGAGAAAAACAGACACTTGCCAGCCTTTGTGTCATCTGATGTCTTCCCTCACACTTTTTTCCTTCTCTCATAATTACCTACAGAATGATCGAAACTGATGAGAGGCCGCAAGTGCACCAGCTTTACTTTTTACATTTGTTTTATTTTTGATGTGTAATTTATGATAATTGCGAGTGAAATTACAGGCGTGCATACCTTTTCCCTACAAGATGTTGTGTGCACTCCTGCTTATTTTTGATCCGAGGTGCCGTTCCCCCACCGACTGAGACAATAAAAGTTACAGTTCGATTGTAATTATTTGCTGTGATTGCAGACTTTGCCATTATCTTTGTTTCATGTGCAAATGCGCCAGCTCTACCTGTTTGAATTTTAATACAAGACGAACAGCTGTAAATTAGGTTTGAAGAAAGAAAGGATATGGAGGTAATTAAGATGGGATTTTTTTCTTTTACCAAAAATTCCTGAATTAAATGTCATTGTTCGCTACTAATAGCACCTGGAGAAGGGAGACGCATTCCCATCATACATCTAGACTATGTGTTAGTAGCTTGTACGCTTGCCTGTCCCAAATCTGAAAATGATCCTCTGTCATCTTGACTTGTAACATCGTGAGCATCGTGTAATTTTAGAGGTGTGAGGGTCCTTTTTTATTCCAGTGGAAGCTGGAATAGATTGAATGGTAAAATAATGAGTTTAATTAGCATGATGACTCATTCTACTGTTTTTGAAGATATGCGTAATTAAATTTCGATATTATCGCTCTGAAATTCAAGCTGGATGATTTATGATCTGAAGAAGAATGCTGCAAAATGTCACAGCCTCCTAATGATATCTAAGAGTTGTATCTTGATTGGGGTCAAAGTTGATTCCGCCTCCTCTCTCTCTCTCGTGCACACGCTTTACAGTGTGTATCTTTGCATAATATTTTTATGGTGGCTAATATACATTTTTTGGTCTGATTTTTCCAGAGTGGCTGGTCATCCATTGGCCCAAAATGAGCGCTGCCTGCACATGTTCCTACAGGACGAGTCGGTGGATAAAAGCTACACCCCTTCCAAAGTTAAACAAGCCTGAACCGGTCTGGACTCTACACGCACAAACACAAAACATGGCCCCACAAGCAATAAGAAATGTTTGAATCATTCTTAACTGGAACAGAATCTTAGCATGAACCATAGGGTGTCCAAAACATTTACGAAATGATTGAAAACGTTCCCTACAATTAGTCATTGTGTCACTTCACTTCTCCAAAAGTACTTTTTTGATCTTTCCTTATAGATTGTTTCGGTCTTTTTGCTTTGATTTATAAATCCATAATGTTAATATTACCACTTTAAGTCAGATCAAATACGTTCTTGTGTAATTCATTGTGGTTAACAATTATTTATGGTAGTTTTGTCTGAGCATCACTAACTTCGATTAGTATAAGATCAAATGAAACGAACCAAATAACTATATCACAATTATGCAAGCACACTATATCACACACATTGGCTTCCCTGTGTTATTGTTACTGCCTACTTGTGTTGCTTTTAATGCTGAAGAACACTTACAGCAGCTCACTGTGCAGGATGCACTTAATTGGGAACCTCCTTTCTACGTGGTGGTTGATCGTGTGTCGTGTGTCCCACTTAGCTGCAGACAAGCCTGTTTTTACTGTGTAATGGTGGTACACAGAAACAAAGAGAAAGTGCTGCCTACAATGCATGTTTCCAGATTTGTATACTGCTGTGCCATTGTTTTGTTTATGAGAATTTTCCAATAAAAAGGATCAAATACACACACGTATGTGGTTTGCAAAACTAAAGCATCTCTGTTTGGTTCCACTAAAATATCTTTTAAGAGATGATCCTAGCTTTAGAGTGGTTGTAGCATTTAGTCTGCATTAAAAGGTGTTTCTCTTTGACCGTCAGGAGTTTGTATAAAGTGAGTCACCTAGGGGTGTTCTGTTAGACACAATGAACTCCGATCCATTTAAATCATATAAAATCATACTTGCAACAGCTATAGGATAGGAAAATCCATTTGTTTTGGTAACATGTTTATTTTTCTGATAAATAGCATGCAACTGAAAAAACAGAAACCCACAGAAAATAAAACCTTGATTATTTCAGAGGAAATAACTTATGTTAACTGGAAGACAAGTATTAGTATTCTATGTGCAGGAATTATTAAAATGAACATGTTTTCTTATTTTAGCCTTACACGATGAAATTAATTAGACTAGGTATTCATCCATAGCACATGGACATTTGTCAAGTATTATACACTAAACAATATTAAAAACTGCATAAATTAATTTAGTTATTGTTCATTTGTTATTGGCTAGATGCTTTATTCAAGTGATTTAAAACTTCATGATACCAAGATAACTGTAAATGCGGGTGATTCCATTTACTGATAAACAGATGTCTAAATAGAATGGATGGAAAGGATTTTTATTGATTTTCTAAGACTGAGGCAGGTGGCTTTGAAAAGGAGAATGATATTAGGAATGGTTACTCAGAATAGAAAAAGGAGTGAGGAAGGAATGAGAGGTCATAGGGCCCTGAATGCTCAGATACAGACCAGGAATCTTAAAGAACACAGGCAATACTAGGATGTGAAGGTCAGTTCCTCCTCAAATGTCATTTAAAAACAGTAGAGTAGAAGAAACTTTTTTCATTGTAAGGCTTGGCTTGGTTCTGCTGCTAATTGGCTAGTTATTTATATATATATTTTTTAATTTAACATTTAATCTACATTTATCTATTCTATTTTTTCTATTCTATCTACTTGTTTTTCTTTGTGTGTGTGTGTGTGTGTGTATGTATATAATATATAAAATATTTTAGGGTCAAAGTTGATTCGTAGATTTACGAAAATGGTTTACAATAACTGGTTCTTCAAATAAGGGTAATTTGTTTTGTGTGGGTATTAATAGTGTAGTTTACTGAAACCAGGAAAAAAATGACCTGAAGTAAAGGGATAAACACTGCACTTAACTTATACTTTTTGGAAGCGTGTGTATTTAACTATATAATAGATGTAGGATATATAACCGCGAGTACGCTATTGCGAAACACGTGTGTTTTTGTATTGTTTCTAATTGCTGTACAAGACACTATAAGGTAAAGAGAAGGGCACAGCCGCTTGGCTCATGTAACCTTGGAGTTCACTCCACATCAGAGCAGCCCATTAAAAAGGAACTGGGATAAATTGGATTGAAAGTTGTCATTGCAATCATGTTTCTTTCTATTGTATCCTCTCTATCAAAAAATGAAGATTAAAAAAATGCAATTTGGGCAAAGCCCTTGATTTCTGAAAGAGTGCTTGAAACCCGAGCCGTGCAAGGCACAGCAACTTCACTCAAGGTCTAGGGTATTGTATTGGCAATGGTTCAATATGCACTTATGTGCAGATGTGAACCTCTCTGTCCCTGTTTAGTACCACGTTTAGGGTGCAATGGACCTTTCGCTGCTTGTAGAAGGAAGCCTTAGAAACCCAAAAAGCAGAAGAAGACAAGAATTTGACAGTCGTTGAAGGACCAGGCGATCAATATTCAATATTTATTCTAATATCTTAGAAGGACTTTCACAAAAATTATCACTGTACAACGAGAAATGTATTTACAGACTACAAAAACAAATCCAAGTGCTGATCATGTCTCTTTTCCAGGGATAGTAGCTAGTCAAACAAAGGCGCTTTAGATGGTGACCTCTGACATGGGCCACGTATTGAGCAGAAACAGCTTTTTAAACATCAGTAAAATTATGTTTTATAGAGTGGGCGCACAGAAAACTCACAATGCTGACAGAACTGTATCCAGAGGATTTCAAATGCCCTGCCCATGAACCCTAATCTTCTGTTAAGGTCACAGGGTGTGGGTGCTGCGGCCTCCCAGTCACCTCAATAGGTAATTATGTGATGCATCAAGTCAGTAATGATCAGTCCTGCTGCCTTCCTGCAGAGTTTAATTCCAGCCTTTCAGTGTACATTTCAAGTAAACCTGATGAGCTGGTTCAAGTGTTTTGATTAAAGTTGGAGCTTCTGCTAGAAGTTAAAACAGGAATGAACTTGCTCTGCAGTTCTGACTCATGGGCCTTTGGTTTTCAGCACTATGTCAAATGGACAGCGACCTACTTCCCTGCAACATACCTCATGGTTTCTTTTTTTTTTATTATTTTTTGGTTTCCTTCAAAGTTCTTGTGGACAAACGAATGATAGTGGTGCTGAAATCAAAACAGCATTGGTCATAAAGGTATTGGTCAAATGGACACAAAACGTCCCGTTTTGAAATGAATGATTGTACATAACCTCACGGACACGCCATTCAAATATATGACTACCAACTAATAATATTGTATTTAAATCATGATAGAACAAGAACAGATTAAGCTTATTAAGTTACTTCCATAAACGAACTTAAATAGATTAAAAGTAAATCAATTAGAAAAGTACTGGTTAAACGTTCATTTTTCTTTCTAAGCAGTAAGTTCAACTTGTAGAGATTCAGTCTTGTTTGTTTTATAGTTTCCCTGCATAGTAACATCTTGACATTGGTAGAGCTTTATTCTCCAAACAAGTGCGTGAAGTATCACATTAGGGTATCTGGTATCCACAGCGTCCCAGCGTCCATGCGAATGTCAAGGTCAAAGATACATTTTGTTGTTTCTTTTCCCTCTCTCAGTAGCTCATATATCACTGGATTTGTACATGTCGGAGAGCAGTCGTGTGATGGGCACGTTTCCGATGGTCTTTTTGAAGAACACCTCTTCAATGGTGGATTGACCAACTGAACGTAGAGCAGGCAAGAGCAACAGCAGTTTCCCAAAGCGACACGGCTGAGTGGGGTACCTGAAACGCAACCATTCGTTTTTTAAATACTCAAAATGAAGCAGAATTCAGAAGTGTTCTCAATTTGCCATTGTTCTTGCACAATAATTATTTCATGAGCTTTTATAGATTGGGTAACACTTTAGAATAATGGTCCGTTGTTAACAAGTAACTATGCAGGAAGTAATAGGTAGTACTACATTAACACTTAACTTAATACTATTAACTAATAGAGAAGCAAGATTAACTAAGTAGTAAGTAGTAGCAAATTTAGGACAAAGGTAGTTCCTTATTAGATATTTGATAATTATTAAATAAAAATATCCTCATTGAGAACTACTTGTGAACTATGACCAGTTAATAAAGAATAACCAATTAATTACTAATCACAACAGTAACGTCTTAAAAGTGAACAATTGGGTTCTTTGTGGAAACTAATTTATGAATATGATATCCCCCAAATAAGTCGGCTACATTTTAAAATTGTAACTACTACACTTACGAAAGGATGGATGTTCAAACTTAAACATAGAATAATAATAAAAATGAAAATTCACAATATAAATGCAGTCGATGCCTTCATTAAGGATGTGAATTGTTTTTGTCAAGAGAACATCATTATTTATATTCAAGAAAAGTCCTCCCCAGCCTACTGTCACTAAAGGTATAGGTCTTTTGGAGTCGGAGACATACTGAACTGACACAAACTAGAGCTCATAATTGTGAACTAATTAAATCACTTCCTAATTATTAACATTTTTAAATGAATTATTTTTATTATTATTTTATGTTTTTGTTTGAAATAAACAGAGAACATCCATCCTTTGGTAAGAGTAGTAGTCACAATTTCAACCTGTAGCCGACTTATTTGGGGGATATCATATTCATAAATTGGTTTCCACAAAGAACCCAATTGTTAACTTTTAAGACGTTACTGTTGTGATTAGTAATTCATTGGTTATTCTTTATTAATTGGTAATAGTTCGCAAGTAGTTTTCAACGAGGATATATTTTTTTTAGTAATTATCAAATATCTAATAAGTAACCTTTGTCCTAAATTTGCTACTACTTACTGCTTAGTTAATCTTGCTTCTCTATTAGTTAATAGTATTAAGTTAAGGGTTAATGTAGTACTACCTATTACTTCCTGCATAGGTACTTGTTAACAACGGACCATTATTCTAAAGTGGTACCATAGATTGATTGTTTCAGGAAGTATTAGCTGTACCTGGTGTGGATGTAACTGTTTAGAGTCAGCTGGGCTTCGTCCTGAAGGGCGGCAATGGCACTGGCGTTGCGAAAGCTCCTCAATTCAGAACCACTGTGTGTTGAAACTACAAGAACGGAAAAACGACAGCAGGTTTGTTCAGCTACTGTTTGGCCAGTTGAGAAAGTTTCTATAATTATTATTATTAATAATAATATTTCGCTTTATTATTTTGTATTTTATTTTATGTTATCGAGCCTCACCCGCTTTAAAGGTGACGATGCACTTAAGGCAAGCGAACTCCGTAGCGTCCAGTCTTAACTGTCTGAAGCGCGTCACGACCTCCTGCAGCGCCTGGATCTCTGCGATGATTTTGTTTAGCCTCTGTGAATCTGTGTTCTCGGTGTTCATTCCTAATATGCGAGAAAGCGCCAAACATTACACTTGTATGCATATAACATTGGAAGTAATCATATTTTTACAAAACGTAAACATGACGTAAAATCTTGCGTAGATCTTAGGAGTAGGCTACATGCTGTATGGCCTATACCTGAAACAGCTAGGAGAGTGCTGGAGTCCACTGGAATGGCCCATTGCGCTATGCCCAGCACGAACAGTTCCCTCCAGGCGTCTCCTAAAAGGCTCAACTGCAAAAAAAATAAATAGTAATTAATGACTATAAATAAAACACCTAGCATTTGGGTTTGGTTTTACACTTGAGGGCATATATAGCATATTTAAACTGTGTAAAATTAAACCTTGGCGAATAATAAGTGAAAATATTAAAACACTTGTTTACCTGGTCCGGTAGAGGCAGTGTGGAGAAGGCCGGAACGCTCTTGGCCCATTTAATGCTCATGAAGAGCAGGCGCGCGGCTGATTCGCACACAGACTCGGTCGCCACTTCATACAGGTACATGGGAGTGCCGCTAACTTCATGAGGATACTAAAAAGAGATTACATCATCACAGAAAATAAGCGGGGTTGTATGTATGCAGTTATGAGTTGAAGTGTAAGTTTTTAAGAAAATTCATATTGATAATGCATCAATTCGTTAAACTACATTGTTGTGAAGGAACGCGTTTACCTTCGGTGTGGGTTGGGCGAGTCCCACAATTGCCTGCCGTTCCGGTGTGCTTGTGATCGTGTTTAACTCCAGATTGTGAGGCTCCAGCTGCGTGACTGTAGTGAAAAACGGCGGCCCCGGGATAGACGTGGATGGGAAATGGGTCGACGAACCGTTCACCTCTTTATGCCCTCGGAAATACAGTGCCACCTGCTTTCGAATGGTTGAAGTCCTCGGTCCTCTCTCGTGCTGCACGGCTGTAGTGATGTAACGATCAGTGACATGAGAAATAAGCGTTCTCATAAGCAGAAATCGTTGAAAAATTAATTTAGAAACATGTGCCATGTAATATATTTCTTCTTGTTTGATTTATACATTTTTGAAAAGGTGTATATATATATATAGGCTATTTGTAAAATTAGAATATTCATAAGGTTTTGTAGATTTTTTTTTAAATGATACTATAATAGAGTAGTAACTAGACAAAATGTTTTAGAAAGCCCAGTCCACACCCTCTTTGGGGCTTCTTGCAAAGGGTGGGAGCTGATTATCCTAATTCAGGCTTGAATACCGGAAAGGACGTCCGAACAAAACGTTGGGGTCTTAAAAGTACATAGTCTATTCTTTTCACAAATTGGTATATAGGCTACGTTTAGTTAAGTTTATGATTACAATTTAGGCCGAGCTCATATTTCCACCTGGCGATAAATAGACGCTAGCGAACAAAAATCGCGACGAGGATGTAACCATAGCAACAGAAGACTTGCGCATTCGTTCAGGTTCAATAAAGTGGCGCTTGAAGCTAGAACGCCTGCATTTTAAGTTTACAATTTCTATTTTGATTTTTTTTTTTATTGTTTCTGCGATTTTATGTCTATTTAAGATAACTAAACCCATCAAAACAGACCGTTTTTTTTCGAGGAAGTCATAAAGTCCTACTGTCTTCCATCCAGTTCAACTGGTAGGCTACTGGTACGTTGGTAAGAAAGTGAATTGAAGGCGGATTTGTTTTAGAGAAGGGAACACGTCTTTAACTTTCCCCGGTGGGGGTCCCAGTCTGTCGCATTGTGCGCTGTAATTGTTTAAAGACATATGGCATATTTCATTACTGTAATCAGCATCAACCCTGGGACCTGCTGCACTGGATTACGTGCAGTTGTGAGAAACTCTGAACTTAATGGGCCTTCGACCACCCAAACAGTGCCGCAATTTCACCCCTGTAAAACTGAAATCATTTTAAGAGTCAAATACGTGTAAAGTGTCGACAGAAAGTGATTTTGGGGTAGGCATTCAAAATAATCAACGAAAAGTTTAGGCCTCAACGAAATGATTCCACTTGTTCACCGGTGCTAAATAAATTACTCCTTACAAATTTCATATTCATACAAATTACTCATAAAATACTAGGATAGATTTAAAAATTGTGTTAAATCTAAAATATGTTCAGTTTTGTAATTTAGAAATCATTACTCATTATAGTGTGCTTTGAAAATTGTGATTGGGTTACCTTATTTTCTTTGCCTTTCACTTGAATGAATTGTATTGCCTTTTTCATTTTCACTTGAAGCCACTTAAACTTTTAAATACCTTTAACACTATTTTTTTTTTCATTTAAGCCTAATGTAAAAAGTCAAATAGAGGTGCACATTTTTTTTACCACCACACGTCTGTTAGAGGCAAATCACACTCAATATGTCATATTTCAAGAAATGCTTCCAGTTAGACAATTATGAGAATTTTATCTGCAAAATAAATTTTAACTGTAAAATAATAAATTGACAGAAAACATTTATTATTGATGAATTTCAGCGCACTTGCATTCTTGTTACCTTGAAATTAATTGAAAGTCAAAAGAGATAGGCTACTCGGAGCAGCCTAATAAGGAAAACTCAGCAGATCTGCTTTGATGACATATTATGCATAGTTTACGCATACCTTAGGGCCACATTATGATATTTTAAAACTGTACAGGCTGGTACAATATAATTGGTAGTTAATTTTTTTGTTTAGAATTTCAGTGTGCACGCACAACTTACGCTCAACAAAGTGTAATGGGGAAACGAGGCTGTCAAAACATTCTCAGCATCACTAAACGCCATTTTTTTTTTTGTGTGTGTGTGTGCTTATCCATTTCTTACAATTTCACATCTAAGATGTATACAAATGATTTATAGAGTGTTTTGCCTGCTTTTTTTATTTGGCAGTCGTACTATCAGTCTAAGAGGTAGGATGTAAGCAACAATTTGACAGCATGTAAAACTTACGCTCAACAAAGTGTAATGAGGAAACGAGGCTGTCAAAACATTCTCAGCATCACTAAACGCCAATTTTTTTTTTTTGTGTGTGCTTATCCATTTATTTCTTTTCTTACAATTTCACATCTAAGATGTATACAAATGATTTATAGAGTGTTTTGCCTGCTTTTTTTATTTGGCAGTCGTACTATCAGTCTAAGAGGTAGGATGTAAGCAACAATTTGACAGCATGTAAACATTTCGATTTGCGTTTGACAGCTCTATGGAGTTTACGTGATTTTTGTCATCTTAACCCATAAGCAATTATTTTACTTTCACTTATTTCGTAAACAAAAAGAGACTGCGTTTTTACTTCGCCATCACGCTATTTCTAACAACATGCAAAACTCGAAAGTAAAGAAAGCCGATCTACTCACTGGATTTGACATTTAAAATATCCAGACAACCACTTGTTGAACCAGCAGGCTTGCTCATGTTGAAGACCTCAGCTCCAAGAAAACTGCGTTGAAAAGTTACACTTTTCAGGCCCAGGGGAGTCTTAACACTCTTGACTTGGTTTTTAAACAAATATACAAGCATAAATTTAACATCCGATTTGCGGTGGACAACTGGTCCTCTGCTTTCTGTTGGAGATTTCTTTGATTGTGTCCAAGTCGCTCCTCTTGATTTTCAGCAAATAGAATCCAGATTTCGTCTGACTGTTGATTGATGCGATGGATGCAGCCCCACAGACAATATATGCCCAACCCGGTCCCTGGTCTCTCAGCGCCACGGAAACTTGGTGCAGCTAATGGAGAAACACTGGGGCTTAAGCCAGCACTGTACTGCTCAAAACCAGCTTAAAAAGTACAACATGAGCTGGGAAATGCGTCTCAGCCTGGAGCCTTGGTGAGTGACTTTGTGATGTGTATCGTCAGATTAAAGGCTTGGTAATATGTATGAGATGTATTAGAGTAGGGGGACGGGAGAGAGGGAGGGTGGGAGGAGAGCCCAACTTCCTTTGCCCACTTAGCTTTTCCCTGCCTTCTGCTTCAACTCCTGCTCGCGCATGACGTCACGGGGACGAATGAAGTGATATTCCATACACAGTGAGTCAGCCACTGTCAGAGGCCAGTGGTTCGCTCTATAGGAATTGATTAGGATCAGCAAGGCTGTTTAAATGACCGAAGCAAACGTTTGCCACTGATCAGGAACACATTTCCATCCTCAGAGAGTTCAGTGACTTAACTGCTCCCAGACTGAAGTAAACCGTTTAAAGCATTCTATTGAAATAACCCTTAGAAACATAATCACTTTTTCTTTTTGCAACGAACTTACTTTCTGTGGCGCTTTCCCGGATCCTTCCCTCGCGCGTGTGCACCTGTTGCGTTGGTAGAATGACTGCAGGAAAGAGTGCTCTGTCCTCTCGCGAGCACAAATATGACAGTGTTTCACATCATCGCTCTCTCGTCTTGCCAGGTTTTCACGCACGGCTTGAAAATTAGAGGATTTTTTTGTAGTGTATGTTTGTTGCTTAACAAGAGTGAATCGACAGGTAAATGTGGCTTATGTTATGGTTACTATTGGAGGCTACTATATAGTAAATGTAACAAATGTTGCTGTTTTGTAGTAAATGCGCATTTATTTGGCACTGTAATCTGTTCGACTGCAGCACGTTTTTCCCTACTTTTTTCCTGCGTAGACAATCTAAATGTACACATCGTTTGTTGTATTTATAGTTCTATATTTAAAACGTTATTTTTTTTTTCTTGGGGGATAGGCAACATTTACTTTCTTTGTATAGCCTACTGTACGTGACAAATAAAACTTTTAACCTACTTTTTTTTTTCTTGCCGAGAATTTACCATCATTAATCGTAACTTTTGCACTGCTTATAATTTTAACAAACCACTTGAATCAGAGCCAGTTTAAACATTTAGCTATAAATAAAGTTATGTGATGGATTTTACGATTTATCTATATTGCAATGGGGTCTATGAAAAAGATTTGTATTATTTTTTATTTATTTATTTTATTTTTTGTACAAGCCTTGAATACTGAATAAATTTCACCGCAGACTCGGTTAAATTGCTTATACGAGGAAACACAACGGGAAATCGCTGTAAAATCAGAGGGGACACATGCGTGCGAGTTTCCCTCGTGGACTGGGAGAATCACAACTGTCCCCCTTTGAGAGCGTGCGCAATGACATCTTGACCTGAACAGCGTGCCGTGTTGTGGCCGCCGCCAGTAGACACCCATATTTTAGGTTTAATTATGAACATTCCCACGGTAGCTCGGGGCCATAAGGGAGCCCTAAATCTCGGTCTAAACGTGGCGAACGGGGGCGTATCTAATTGCAATTAGTGATTGTCATGTCCTCCTTTAAACGGTGTTCTCAGTGCATTGAAAATAAATTAGGATTTTTGACAGGTGAATGACTGCACATTCAAATGTGTGTTTTTCAGGACCTCATGTGCCAGACTGAGAAAAACAGTGTCGCAGTAAGATCCATATCTCTGTGGGCATCACCAGCGAACTCTAGGCCATGAGTGATTAAATCAAAATGATTCTGAGTCTAATGGCTTTTAGATATATGATATATTAAGAGGATCATGCATATGATTGTGACTTAATTTGATTTGACGACTTCTGTCCCATCTCTTTTTCTTTCTCTTTTCCCACTTTCTCTATCTGTGTGTTTACATGTGTGTGTGTGTGTGTCTCTGTGTGTGTTTTAGGGGTGGGGTGGGGTGGTCTGCTCGTAGTAATCTGCTTAACTCGCCCTAATCCTGTCATTCATAGATAGTCTTTACACAAACATAACCAACATCATGGTTGCCCCGGCTGCCTGCTTTCACTTTTTGTGCTTGTGACTCTCCTCTCAATAACAGTCAATGAAAATCTCTGACAAAGAACCATCTGATTGTGTATCTAGTTGTTGGCTTGACAGAATCAGTATGCAACTGCTTATTTAGCCCTTAAAGTAGAGAGGGACAGAAACACCATCTCTTATACTTAAGCACTGCTGTAACAGCATGTTGGAGATGTTGCAAAATACTTTTTCTGTGATGGCACTTTGTTCTGAGATGAACACATGTATGAGGCAGAATCAAACCAGAAAAAAAGATGCAGGTTGCTGATAACCAGAGGACTAAAAATAGTTAAGCGCTTCTGTTCCTGACTTAAATACAGAGAAAGAAATTACTACAAGAATGTATCAAATGAGGATAGGAAATTAAATATTTTAGATTTTTTTTATTATGAATTAATCTATTTAAAAACAAACAGAACATTTTTAGCAGAAATACATTGATATTAATTATAAAAACACCTGAGTAACCTTTCAGTCAATTAGCAATTACAATATGTTTCCTTTCTAACCCTTGATTCATTGAGGTAAATTTTGTGAAACTGTAAATTAATTGATTAAAAACTGAAAATAAATGACTAATAATTACCCATCATTATTAGCCCACTATGAAAAAAACCTGTTTCATTTAAGAATTATAGTTGCGGTTTATGTCTCATAGATCATTGTTAAGAGTGCCGTCCTTACAAAACGTTATCTTAAACCATGCATGTCCATCTATATGTGTATGGTGTATTGATTATTTCTTTCTGATGGAAAATTACTGTTAAGTGATTATATGTTTATATGTATGTGGGCATTTATTACGCTTGTGCATTTTTAATTCTATTTTTTCACTTTCCTAATTTTGTATATAAAACAATTCAATGTTTGCATTGTACCTTGAGATGTCTCTGTTTTTTTTTTTTTGTACTTCAAGTTTTTATTGTTTTCATCCGGTACATGACAATATCATACAAAACACAGATTGCAGATTTATACAAATACTGCATGTAAGGCCAGAATATATACAGTATCTATGTTTTTTAACTACTACTAATAATAATAAAGAAATATTAAACTGTTTTGTATTTATATCTAGAATTCTTTTATTTTTAGACTGTGTTTGAATACTCAAAAGAAATTAGTTCTCATTCAAGAGAGGATAATTTTTTTTTAGTAATATTTAGTTTTATATATTATATGCCATTCAAATTGTTGCCTATTGACATGATTCTTTATTTTTTACCCTTTTTCATTGTAGCTAACAATCGGATACCCATTAACTTGTCTACTTGTCATTAACTTCTCTAACTTTATTTCCCATAGCAAGTATAATGTAATAATTTTTTTCTTTTACGCTGCCTGCATATCCAAAATGATAATAATAGTAGTAAAGGCCGAACACAACCTCACCCTGTCTAACTGGCAGGTCGATGGACGCTTTCTGACAAATCTATTTGGGGCAAATTGTCAGTGAGAAACTTCCGCCTGAGCTGGCCTGGACAAAACTGGCTGTTGGACGGACTAAATCCTACTGCAGGAGGGTCGGGACAATAGGCTCTGAATGTGTTGATGTGCTGGCAGTGGCTTGGGCCTGACAATGGCCGGATTAATTGGTCCCTTGGCTGACTGATTTGAGATGGCTTCACTTGGGTCCTCTCCATGGGGAGCCCCATTGTCGTTCTCCTGATTCCCACTTTTCACAAACTCCAAACAAAAGTCAATTTCTTTCTCAAGGGGGTTTGGGAGAAGAGGAGAAATATCGAGACCTCGTGGTTCGGCTTCGCGAGAGGTGACTTTAAAAGGAGAGCTCCTTTCTCCCCTCATCGTCTAAGTTTTTAAATGGATGAATTAACTCATTCCGTTTCCCTTTCTGCCTGCCCCCTCCCTCTCTTTAAGGCCCAGAGCTCCTCCTGAGACTTAGAGGTGTTATCATCAGCGGGACAGGAGAGAGGTTGTCGTCCTGTATGCGGAGAGGATCCGAGGCACCTGTTGAGAGTGCTGGCAGGCCGAGCCGAGGAGCTCGCTCTCATTAATATTAAAACATCAGAGATGCCATCATGTTGCTGCTCTGAAATCGGTCTGATGTTGCCCCCCCCCGACCCGGCTCCCTGGGGACCGACTCTCCGCTTCCACAGTCAATCATGAAGGGCACCCCCTCTACCCTCTCTCACTGCCTGTCTCTTTTTTCTGTCCTCTCATTATCATTCTGCCTTTTTGAAAGGCCTCGTTAACAAATTATGACAGCTGGCTAAAGAGGCTTTAGCCGTTCACACCATTTCAGCAAACAGTTTAGGGGCACAAAATGACAAACTTTATTGTGCTGTGACATCAACTTTCTTCTATTTGTTTGCACACTCTTATTTGTCTCTTCAGGTGACGGCTTATCAATGGCATATTTCACAGAAATAATTTGCCTGCCAAAGCCCATCACATCATTTAATGGCTTTAATGTGATATATTGTATGATTTCTTTTATATTTTTGACTTGTGATTTTAGTTATCGTATTTGCAGTAACACTGAAATGACTGGATCACTTTTGACTATAGTTATGCTTGTATGTTCTGTGTCCTGAATTAATTTTAATAGAAGAATTTCATAATAGATAAAATTTTATAATAAATAATCATATATTAAATAACATATTTTTAAATGGTTAAAATAATATTTATAGTATATAGTAATTTGTTTAACATTAATCTTGGTCAAGTCACCTTTATTTCTGTAGCGCTTTATAAAATACAGATTGTCAAAGAAGCCTGGTAACACTTTACAATAAGGTCCCATTAGTTAATGCTAGTTAATGCATTAACTAATGCAACTAAATCAGCAATACATTTGTTATATAGTAACTATTAATATATAACATTAAATAAAAATACAACAGTTTATTTTTAGTTCCGCTCCATTAGATAATATGAACAAATACAACTTTTGATTTTAATGAAAAGTTTTTTTAATTATTATTGTTAGATTATGTTAACTAATGTAGTTAACCAATGCTAACAAATGAAACCTTATTGTGAAGTGTTACCAAAATCAAGTAAAAAGTGTTTTCCAACTATCCATTAAGTATGTAAAGCTGTCCAGCAACAATTATTTAATATAAAAAAACAAATACAAGAAAAATATTTCAGAGATTTTGATCATTTACTACATTTTTCAAGCTCACCTGTGCAAATTTTATTTATTTTGACATACATGCAATGCAGTGTTCAGCTACTGAATAAATATAGAAAGAGAAGAAAAATAATAATTCAAATGACAACAGAAATTAGATGTATTTATTTTTTAACTTTTAACTTGTCAAAAAGAAAAATCATTATTATCTATTATAATCCTCTTGTCTTGTGAATTTAATTTGTTCATGTCCACCAATTTTGAAAATGATTTTTATGTAATATATTTAATTGACGTTAACAACTAATTACGTTAAAAAATTTATTGAAACAGCTTATTATTTTATTGTATATGATCATATATTTATTTTGTACTAGTGAAGTTTGGGTCATTGGGCCACCCAATTACAGTAAAGGACACAGAGAGCAGAAATAGCTGATGTTATGATGCTGAAGCTGGCCTCAGTGACTGTGGGAAGATCACACCCTGCTCATTACACGATGAGCTTCGTTTTTGGGATCAGAGGGAGTAGAGGGAGGGGAGGTGAGATGATATCGGAGCTGGGGCGGGGTGGAGGGGGGCGTTTTTAGGTGTAACTGATGGATTCATTGATTTCCCAAAGAGTGATTTGTGTTGATGTTCTGTTCATTCTCCATGATCGGCTTTATCTTCATTAAGCATAAACTGCATCCGTCGCCACGACTGATTCCATTGTAGGTGGCCTATTTGATGGAGATAAGGCTATAGGCCAAATACATCCACTATGTCCAAATTTCAAACTTTGAATTTCTAGTCTTCCTATTGAGAAATGCTAATCATACAGTTGCCAGACAGACCAGAAAGGGCCCCCCCCCCGACCCGGGCTGACCTGGGAAAGTTAATTAGGAGGCCAACAATGAGCGAGCCCGAGCAAAATACCTCGCCTCTCCTCCAGCCAAAGATGTCATCCATTAATTAGGCAAATCTTTAAGGTGGGCTTATTGAATTTACAGAAAGGCCGCAGTTTGGGCGGGCCACGTTTTTTGATCAGGCCCTCGCCCCAAACAATGCCTTCTCCTGGTTAAGGAAAAAGGGAGGGGATTGGTGGAAGCAGAGGAGGAAGAGAAAGAGAAGGAGGGGAAAAAAGGAGAGGGAGAGAGAGAAATGTATGGCTTGCAGAGGCTCAATGGGAATAAGGATGGGGAGATTCACAGGGGCTTGGTGGGGCATGCTTCAGCGATGATGTCATGCAAAGGCACCCGAAAGAGATAATAAGTACGTCAAACTTCGAATTTCTCGTCTTCCTAGTGAGAAACGCTAATCATACAGTTGCCAGACAGACCAGAAAGGTTTTTCCCCCAAACTCGAACTTTCTCAAAAGGTTCAAACACAAATGGTACACAGAAGACTGGCCCTTGCCGCTCACTCCTTAGACCCCAAACTATCATTCATAACCTTTCTGCATCGCTCCGAAAAGGAAAAGAGGAGAGGAGAGAGGGAGGGGAGAGGAGGACTGTGGGGAGGACCATGAACGCTTATTGCTGATCAGAGCCGGTTTCACCTGCGTTCCACCATGGCGCGGATTTGCCTCAGTGTGTTACCGTGATCAATTAATGACCGGTTATGCATTTCGTTTCAGATCAATATTAGTGTCTGTATTATATTTTGTATTGTCATATTCCAGAACAACTGTTGGCTCGACAGCCCATCATATTTGTCTTGTTTGTGGCTATTACAATTTCATATGGCTCTAACAAAGGCTTCTGCATAATCACATCATGAAATTGAATTTTTTATATATCTTATATATATATATATTAAATATGAACAGAGACAAGAGAGTTTCCATTTGTCAAAATGTTTTCAGCAAATATTTTCAGTAAAAATAATTGCATAATATTACTCCTGATGCATTTTTCATTTTTGTTTACAGAAAAAGACTAAAAATGCTACAGAAAAAAACTGATCTTACAATAAATGGTGCAAATGGATTAACATCGCATTATATGCAATTTCAAGATATTGTCAAATTTATGTTTTTTGCAAGTACAAACTATAAATTATCGGTGTAAATTAAATGAAACAGTCAATTTAATTTTGATGAATATACAATTGCAGTAAAAGGAGATCCCCAGAAGTCCCTGCCTGACAAGTGCCATCTGATTTTATTTTATATAATTAAATTTCTTCTCATTTTTGTTATCAGTAATAAGTGTTTTGTGTTACATTTTCTATTATTTAGTTAATAGCTAATACCATCTGTATTGGCCACGTTTTATAAACTTGATTATTTATTACGTGGCTTTCTATTTTAGCACCTCTATTATCCTGGTGGTTATCAGTACATTTTAAGGTAAAAGCAAATTTTTGTAGTTCAAGTACCTTGATATATTGCCATTACATAATTTAATGAAATATAAGGTTATAAGATGTAGTAAAATATACAGGCACCAATATGCCATTCCATTGTACCCAAAATATATATTTTGACTGAATTTCTGGCACTTTTTACAGTACATGCAGAATATATTCTGTTGCAGAATTAGATTAGATTAGAACAGTTATTTAACAGTCTTCACATTGTAAGTCAAGTCTTTGAAGGAAGGCTGAATGTGCATTAGTGGTAAGATCACTTGACAATAAGAATCTCACATTACATGGCACACAAAAGGGAAATTCCTCCAGGAAGTATTGTCCTCTCCACATAAAGCCAAGCTGCTCTTATTATTTGATTATGACTGCTATAATTCACCAAGCAAAGCTTCATATTGGATTTAATCTTTGTGGGATTTGGTCTGCGTGCTGAGATCCAGCTCTTTAGGAATTTAATTGATTCTGGAATTGCAGGCTACTCAAACTGAGCACTGGTGTGGTAAAAGCTAATGCTGACACTTGTATGCAGGCAAGCAGTATAGTGTGTATAAAGCTTGGTAGGGGGAGGCTGTCCTCTTTGACATGACCGGTCTTTGAGAAAAAAAATAGTTTCCCTTGAAGGCCATTCCCCTCCTCTCATAGTTCATGCCGCTTTAAGGACACTGACTGGGCTGAGCACTACCTCCCTAAAATACACCCTCCCCCCGGTCATCCTAATCGGAGGGGTGGGTCTATGTGTTTTGTTGCTTGTCAAAAACAATCACTCTTCGGGCCATTACAGTTGCTGCACGTCCTCCTTTAATTGGTGTAACGCACGGAGGAATGAAAGCGAGGGCGGCCCACAAAAGCCAGCCAGTGAATGAGAACCAACTCACACTGAACTGCTGCACTGAAAAAAAGTCCATAGTTGGCAACTAACAAGGAGTTGTAGGTCTTTCATTCAGCAATATCACTGGCAAAACTGTCAGCACACCAACCTTAAAAATGTATTCACACTTTTATTATGTTGGATTAAAGGTAACATTTCGTTTCAGTCAAGTGTAAATAAAAATATGATAAATGATTAAAACATATTGCAGGGAAATTGACTAAGGCTCTTAAAGGAGCAATTTTTCCCTCTTTAAATAAGTTTTACATTTAACATTTTTTAAAGTATTTTTAGCAAATGATTTATGTTTTAAATCATGTACATGTGATGACTCAGTAAATGAGTAGCCTTATAAAAGCAGATTTATTTTACTTCCTCCTGATGGAGGTGGCCATTTTGAGATCAAATGACCAGCTGAATGCCATTTGCTTCCATTATTGGACTTCATCAGGTAGGCACTCCTTTTGAATCAGTAATACTTTGTGA